GATTTTTACCTTCCAACTCTTTGTGGATCCTTTACCTCCAGAAACGAGGAAAACAGATAATATGCACACAGCTTAAACAAACTCATTTGAAAAAAAATTTATACGGTTTTTAGGCAATAATTGACTAAGAGCGCGCTACCAAAAAATAATTCCGACGAATAAGACTACCACTCCTGCGGAAAATACGACCGCAGCGAGTGAAAATAGTAACTTTTTTGAAATTTGACCAAACAACTCGAGTTTTCTGAGAAGTTGGAAGAATTGGTTTACTGGATGATACGAGTTTCCTTATAAAAAGTTAAACGTCACCTTAGTCTTTGAAAATTATTGCAAACATCGAGTGTCGATATATGCGATTATATTAATTATAAAATACCGTAAAATTTTTTCCTCTTTCATCTTTTCCGTATATTTGCAATTTACGGAAAAAACACTGGTTAGTAATAACGCAAACACCCTGTATATTTAATTTGTGAAAAATCAAGCAATATTAAAATAACAAGTATGAAATTCATTTTGTTGCTGTTAATTTCTACCTTCTTGCTATTTACCGATTCAGTAACTTTTTAATTCACCAAAATACCTAGTGGGTGCACTAAATCTCTGTGCAGCATTTAATCGAACAAATTTAGTAGATAAAATAGAGTTTCTCACTTGCTATCAGATGTAGATATAATGTGATCGTGAAAACGATGAAGTGGAATTTACCGCAATGCGGAGAATCCGCCGCTGTTTTCGTTTGAACTGCCTATGTATCTGTTCACGCGAAGAAACTGCCGGTTATTGAGTCCTTCAGAGTTAGCAAAATTTTATTTACGTGACTGACATCTTTTGCTCGAACTTTTTGTCACAGAATTAAAGCTACGGTGCTTCGACAATTGGATATCGCATTTAACCTTAAACACTTCGATTAAATTATGCGTTATTTCGTTACTACTCGTCAATATCGTATTCGAAGTAAAGTGTTTTCTTCGAAATTATTAAAGGTAGGGGAAAAAATTCTTTGTGCACTTTTTACAGTTTCTTGGTATGATTAAAACAGTTTGGTGTATAGTAGTCCTCAGAAAAATGTGCGACAGTATTCTTTTGCGTCGACAATCGTCCACGGTGAAGGGGTGAAACCTAACCTCAAAGTTGGGGGTAGTAAATATATTTAGTTTGATATCTCGAAAACTATTAGAGACAGAGGAATAGTGTAAACCAACGAATTTTCTATTTTTCAACGACAAATGCAATAAAAATAATAAAAATACAAACTATCTTGAAAAATGAGAAAACAGTAGATAGGACATTTTAACCAAGAAGAGCAGAATTAATTTTTTCAAGTTGAGCTGAAGCATAAATTTTGAGAATTCTCTCTTACGTATTATTTTTCGTTGTTGGAAGTGTAAATTTCATCTTTAATTAAGTCCCACGGAAAGAAGAGTATGTGTCAAAGGAACGTGGTGGTCATGGAACAGCGCCACCTTGCCCTATCCATTAGTTTCCAAATTTGTCACGTGAAATTGAACACATCCTTCTTGCGAAGTATGACAGCTTTATCTTGATGAAAGCACGTTATTTTTTGTCACGGTGAAGTCATCCTTGACACATCCCTCACAATCTCGGGTAATTTTATTTATTAGGCGTAGAACTGAATTCTTTCCGACTGGATTCACAAAATTGATTCAGAGCCACCGAGTTTCTTTCGCGACGGTATTTGCAAGAAAAATGGCGAAAGGTCATCAACAATAGGAAGTTACCAATGAAAATTATTTTGACGATTGATCTGTTTTCATTCTTTCTAAATGAAACTTCGATTGTACACAAAAGTCCCCGCAGGGGGGTTCCCATGGGTACCTAGGGGCTTGGCGATCCCCCGATACCTGAGCTGGTTTACCATTACTGAGTGGGGTGAGGTTCCCTCTAATGGTAATGGTGTTGGTGTCCACCCACGCACATCCCACCGATGATGTTAGACGGTACCTCGGGCCCGCCGGCCCTTCCAAGCCACGTCCGGGGCTGTGGCGGGCATTCCGCCCTCCCCTGATCATCCGGGCTGGGCCAGCAGGGGTTCGCGCCAGTGTGGCGCGGGCACCTGCGGCCACAGCACCGGGGGCTGGCCGGGTGTGGTGTAGGTTTCGAGGGGGCAGTGGTTAGGCCGCATGCTGGTCAGGGGCCCTTTTTCCAGGCCCCGACGTGTGTGAGTGGCGAACAGCTCTGGTACCAATCTGGAGAATTGGTAGAGTGTTGGAAAGTCACTCCGCGCCACCCGTAGCGTGGGGATTCCTCCTCACAAGGGCCCTGAACGGGTAGGCGGACGACCTGTGTACCCCTTGAGGGTCTAGTCGGACGACCGCGTTGATTGGGCGTATCTCAATTCCACGCCCCGTGGGGGGCCGTGCGGGCATGCCTCTCGGTGGTAGACCGCACGTAAAACTGCAACCTGATAGTGTACCCAAAAGTCTCCCGCAGGGGGAGAGGAGTGAGGTCCCAAAAGTTTAGCATAACTCGTGTTTGGCTTTTGGATACTCTAGTACATAATGAAACCCACAAAGTTGAACAATAAATATAATTTCAACTTAATAATAAGCTTCACAGTAACGATCTGAACTACAATACTAATAGTACATAATGAAACCCACAAAGTTAAACAATAAATATAATTTCAACTTAATAATAAGCTTCACAGTAACGATCTGAACTACAATACTAATATTAGCGAAAATAGTGAGTTTTAAATGAGACCCTATCTTTAGACGAAAAACACAAGGATAATTTCACAGATGACTCATGTCTCACGAAGTTCATCGACGTAGGCTTCTTCGGCGTAAAGAGCTATTTTCGTAAATGGCGCTTTATTTTCGGCCACAGCAATTTTCCACGCTATTTAAACCAACGATAATCCACTTGAACGTCACGGTATATAGTGTGCTTATTAATTGCAACAGAAGTTGTTCCTCGCGTCGGTAATGCAGTGTGAAACGTAGTTTTGAACTATCAGCCACCGACAGGCGACAGTTTAATTGATACGCTATCCTGTAACGGAAATACCAACACTTGGCTCGCGTCCGTTCAAAATCCAAACTTCTATTTCTGCAAATTGAACGAATTATACGTGTGCAAATTATTTTAACGGGTTTCACATTGTTCGTAATGAAATCTGTATTCCGTTAATTATCTTAACTTCGTCTATTGTTCGGTGTTAATAATTGTTACGTTATTTAAATCACGTCGAGTAAACAAACTTTCAGAAGCTTCGTCGAGACTGAAAAACGCGCAGAAATTACAAAATCGTTGGAAAGTAGATACAGTTGTTGGGGGAAAATGTTGTTTTACTTTAGTACGTTACACGCGGCGGAGCAAAATGGAAAAGCTTCGACTGATAAAGTATTTTGTATATGTAGATCGCGTAGTTTTGAACAGGATGAAAGCAATGCGAGATTCATTGTGTTGCTATGGTGTATTCATTCTGCAGTGCTGCGTAAAAGTTATCCTATTAAAATTGCATAGCGCACAGTGTTCTAATTGCGATACTTTTGTATGTATATACATACAGGGTGTCTTTTTTTTTTAACTAGACAGGGTAAAATATCGTAGAAGGAACTGAAGCTGTTGAAAAAATGTTCTTGTGATAGTTGTTTGGTATGATGTGAGATTAACCGTGGTGTAAATAGTTTCTTCGTTGATGAAGTAGTGGAAGAGATTTCAAAGTTAGGTTTATTTTTTTTAATATACACTAATGTACGGAAAAATTACCTTTAATGATAACAGTGGCTATCACATAGTGATAAGAAAGATATAAGCTCCCATTTAAAAAAAATAGAGATGACCTTGGAATCTTCTCTACGCCTCCACCCACGTAAAAAGTATTTACATCACATTATTTCTCCCTCTATATCATGCAAGCTCTATCTTTAAAAAGAGCATTGCAATTTACAGAAAAATTTCCAGAAAAAAGTCAGCGACTTTGAGAATCTTTCGTCGTTCGAATCAATTGATATGAGATAAATTCATAAAAGTAGAATTGAGATAAACTTCAAATCTATAAAAAATTAGCAGCAGATTTAATATTGATGAAAAGTGGGAGGTGATTCCAAATTTTTTGCCGGTAGTGTATACATGTAGATGTATATACAGTAAATTTTCTACAAGTGTCAGTCAGTTTGGATTCTACAAGTGACAGTATAGATGGTCCTACGCCTAGGTCTGTGTCATTGCTGCGCCTATGTTATCTCGCTCGCAGTCAGTGAAGCGTGTGACGCTACACCACTCGGTTTCCTTTGCGAGATTTCACGGCTCGACAATTCATAATAGAAAAATATAATTTCTTTAATTTTACTTTTTTTCATCTGGAATTTTTTTTAACATGTTGCTGAGATTTTTCTGATGAAAATGACATAAAACACGGTATAATTTGAACAACATTTACTTATTAATACTTATTGAGTAATTAATTTAATGTCGGCCTACCTCCACGTAAAAAAAAAATGTAGAGCCGATTCTACAAGTGTCAGTCAAATGTAGGGTCGATTCCACAAGTGTCAGTAAAATGTAGGGTCGGCCTACCTCCATGTATAAAAAAATGTAGGGTCGATTCCACAAGTGTCAGTCAAATGCAGGGTCGATTCCACAAGTGTCAGTAAAATGTAGGGTCGGCCTACCTCCACGTATAAAAAAATGTAGGGTCGATTCCACAAGTGTCAGTAAAATGTAGGGTCGATTCCACAAGTGTCAGTGAGAGTGTATTTTGTTGAATCGTTAGAATTTCATTATATCCTGTGAATATGAGACTCGAAAGAAACTTAATATCAAACGACATAATTTACGACAGTAAATGATTAACTGTAACTGATTGAGTAATTGTAATTTATGTAAAATTTGTTTTTAAAAAATGAATTTATACTAAATTTTGTGTTTAGTAGAAATTCAAAGAAACTTTAATCTCAGATAATACAAAAATCAATAAATTGTTACAGAACACGACTAGGATACATTTGTTTACACGTCACCAGGACAGCGAGATGCCAGTACAATGTTCCGCGTGGGGATCCTCGAGGATCATCCTGCTATAACGGTAATTTATTTCAAATAATTTATTCCACCTAATTTTGCTAATTTTATTGCAATTAACAGACATTTAGAAAATATTTGTTTCTTTCTTTCAATGTATGGTAGATAGAGTAGGACGTAAAACTTAATTTGTTACCAACATATTAATTAAAGAGTTATTTTAGAAGAGATTCACTGTTATACTGTAAAGAGAAGAGAAGAGAATAACTGATTATTATAAACTGTACATAACACTAGCAATGAGTATAACAAACACATTTTCTCATGGTTACAATTAACATAGGATAGAAAGTCCTTCAATTTTCCTTCCATTTGAAAACGAGACTTTGTGCCAATCATTTGGGAACAGAACGTTTGAATCATTTTTTAACACGTTTCGTGTCATAGGGACATTCACTCAGAACCGTTTCGTTTGGTCTATCATAAGAACCCATTAAAACAATGCAACTTGAGTTTAACCCAATTTTTCTCTGCAGTCAATGATATTGACAAGTAAATTTACCTGAGAGTTTCAAATAGGAGAGACTGGGGCTAAAAGTTACAGTTTTAAGAAAACATGAAAAATGACCGGGAAATAATGTAGTTATTCTCTTCACTATTGACTAATTTACTTAAATCTTTGTAGTAACTGATATTATTGTAAAAACAATAAGTTCGTTCTTGAATGTTAGATTTTTTATCGTTAATGTAGAAACTAATTGAAATTAAACGATTAGAAGTTGCGTTATTATGTGTATTTTCGTGGTTCTCTTACAGTGGCCATGGCGTAATGAAAGAAGAAGAATGCAGCACGGCAAAGGAGGCTAGATGAGCCCCAACTTTCAGAGAGGGGCGTGTGCAGATCACCAAGAAACTGTTCGCGAAGCACAAAACCGCACATCTCTGAGAGAAAACGAAAGTGGAAACAAGCACGTGTGTGGAAGAATACGCGGTCCATACCTGGTCCGCCATTTTGGCGGTATGGTCCTTTGGGCCACTATACTATTCCTACAAGGAGCTGGTTTCGTAGGTAAGCTCTCTTTCTTTTGGTAGACTTAAATCTCTCTTTGACACTTGAAACCTACCACCTTTAATCGTGTCACTTATGGTTAATGCTCACTACTCGTGCTAGCAAAAATATATCATTTATTACTTGTTCTGCGATTACCTTTTCACGCCCAAATTAAGATTGGAAAATTACAAACTTACTTTTAAGTAATTAAATGTTGCATACAGTTTTCCTGTAGAAAATTACTTAATCTATTATAACTTACGGTATATATAGAGCGTTGACAATATACGAATAATTGTAAAAATGTTAACAGAATTTAACTTATACGAGATCATTGCCCTTTTCTTTATGACTTGGATGTTTCTAAGTACAGTACTATGTAAGGAAGTAATTTTATTTTAGATATGCAAATCAGAGTAATGTGACGGCTGGTTCACACGAAATTAACTACTCCGGCAGTATTTTATTCAGAAATTGTGATTTATCCGATGCACAGATTAATTTAGCGCACGAGAAATGTAGCAGTCGACACTGCATAAATTTCGGAATTGGAATTTATGGCTGAGGAAAATGTCAGAAATTCCAAAGGTTTTGGAGATAGAAGCGGGAGTGATAGAGTAGGTCACAGGTCAGGATACGCAACCCAGTATGATGCAGGGTTCGAAAGATATAGATCAGGACCGCTCAGGAAGTTGCTCTATGTGAAGTGGTTAGATAAACGGAAGCATGAGAACGATATTCGAGTGGTAAGCTACCCCTATTGGAACAACGATCCTATGGTGGGGCACTGTGTGAATGTAGTATTTAATGACCGCCCGCCTAAGGGGTATTGGAACAATTGGAACAACGATCCTATGGTGGGGCACTGTGTGAATGTAGTATTTAATGACCGCCCGCCTAAGAGTGATAACTATGCTTCGAAGATAGGCAATCATTATCAACGCACGTCTACTTACAAGCACACACTTCCACCGCTACCGTTGTTCCGCACTCCTTTTACGACTGTCGACGTCATTTTCCCTGGCAGCTACTCCCGGCTCTGCTCGGGGCAAAAAAGAGCGCTCTTGCTTACGAAACGGCTATCTAAGCGGCCGTGACATGAATGATTATGGGTACGCTGCGTGTGACTCAATATTTTTGGTATGCAGGACAAGAATATTCAGAACTTATTCGACTTATTGGACTTGTACTTATTACATACTAGGAGTTTTCCAATAATACACTTGTAAACGGCAAAACGATGGTCAATGGCTTGAGGGCGGATAGGGCAATACGAGCCATAAAACCATGGCACGACGTACTGAGGCGTGCTGATTGGTCGGGTCAAGGGACAAAAATCCGTATAGAAAAGGCCAGGATTTCAGGAAAAGTAAAAGTTGTCTTGAGACATCTTATCTCCACATCACAATTCCATCCAGGCTTTCGCGATAAGCTTGGATCGTCTAGCTTGGCTCAGCCCAGAGCTGTTCAGTCATTGCCCGTACGGGCAGCGTATTAAGCTTCCGGGGGCGTAAACGAATCGGCGGGCAACAAGCCACGCCTTCTCGGGCAACGGTGCGTGTATGAAAGACCTATACCCCTACCACAAACGTCTTTCCCCCCACTCCTCTTTAATGTATGTGACATCACTCGCCCGCGACTTCGCCCTCAGCTTTGCCCGCGGACATTGGCGAGTGCCCTTGCCCCCCTGAAGACTTGTTGAACACGGTACTGGCCTAGCCGGTACCTCTGTTCCAGATTCACCTTTCCTTCCCAGATTCCATATTTCCAGTCGTCTAAAGTCCAGTCTGCACATCCACTTCGAATCCTCCACTATTGTCCGCTCTCCATCCCTGCCGAACACCACATTTCCAAGCCACATGGCCGTCATCTCGCCGTAGCTTTCCCTGAAGTACAGCAATCGCGAAACCGTCGCGTGGAAACGTCGAGTGATATAAACTTACAACTGTATTAGCCGCTTAAAAATCAAAGTATGTAGGATCACAGTGTCTCGGCCTGCCAGTCGGAGGTCGCGAGTTCGATTCCCTTTGGGTCCCTCATTTTTTCCTCGGTTCCTACATCTATCATATATAACTGGAAAGAATGCTAGCAGGATGGCACAGGGGCAAGACGGACACACCGCTCACTTTGCTTGATTGACTCTATCTGTGACACTCCCGAAGCCGCCACTTTCAGGTTTTTGGTGGAACACACTGCCATAGTAGTAAGATCCCCGTGTTCAGGGATCACACGTTTCAAGATCTACCGTGGATACACGCTATTGCTTCGAAGTTCATCGCATCGGTCGCTTTTGCTCTGTCCCGCTCGGTTTCGATGTGTCTCATTTGCTCTCTTCGTCACGCGATGGTACATGATCCTACTTGTGCACGTGACTCCTTCGGTCAATAGCACAGTACCTAATGTGCAGAGCTGAAAATAAGTCCTGCGGACGCAATACCTGTCTGATTGGTCATAGTGTAATAGGACCCCACCTTCTTTAACACAATCACAGAAATGGGACACGTGTGTTGTCATTATTGGCCGACGTAATAGCATTAACGAATCGGATCATTTAAAATTGCGTGACGTGAGATTTAGGCGAAGTACCTCTCTTGCCCCTGTGCCATCCCGCTGGACTTCTTTTGAGCTGTGCACAGCACATACATATATCATTCATGTATAACTTGAGATAAAGAAAATCGAGTATGAAATCCTTCGGGATATCAATCATGATCCCTTTCTCAGTAAAGCAAAAGTCATTGAGGTCTACTAGGCAACCGTAAGTTAATTTTAGTGGACGGAGGTGGAAGTTGTAGTGTTTCTCTTTCAAGAAGAAGCTTTCATACCAGACGGTGTCGAAGGCTTTCTTAGAAGTACGTGCTCGTGATCCTATTTTTAACAAGTTCCATGATAATATGGTCCGTTACTCTTAAGATTTTGTGGCTGATGGAATCAAGTGGTTCTGTTCTGAAATCGAACTGCTCGTGAAGATAACATTGCTGTCACTTGTGCTATCTTGGGTCAGATGGATGAGAGTAATTATTTTTCAAATCATTAGGTCTATATCTAAATACAGGCAGCATTTCTGTCAGGTTTTTTGACGAATTTGACGATTTTACACTAACCACTCCAGAATGTAGAAATTGTTGGTTAGTAGTTCTTTATCAGTGACGAAGTCACGATCTGATGCTTTTATCAGAAAAAATGTATATGTAATATCTCTTGTTTTATTTTATACTGTTTGTTGATCGCAATGCATTGTGTGCCATCGAAGCATAGGTTTGTAGTGTAACATCTGATTTAACCCGTTGTTACGTACCTTTCAAGTCCATTCAAGGAGTTTACCTGGGATAGGGGCGGCGACAGTGACTACCACAGGATTTAATTCACACGAGTTTATTCTGTACAGAGGCGTTCCTTGATGCAAGGATAAACAACTGAGTTCTCGCGCTGGAAGCGCGTTGGTTTTTTAAGCTGCTTCCCTCTTCTGTCCTTGGGGTGGTGGAAATGGGTTAGAGGAGGAAAGATTGAGACAAGGTTAGGTTAGGTGCCTCATGAAGCTGTAACGTGCCACTGCTTATCACTATCCTAATAGTACGCTCACTGTGTGCTATCGGTGACTATAGTCACTCGTTGATACTTTGCATCGGTTTACAACTTTAGTCGAACACAGTATTGTAAGAAATGCGAGATTACGGCGGCGGCGAAGTGGTGGCCTGGACTTTGTCACCCAGGAAGAGAAAGCGCGCGGGTACCTGAGGGTGGTACCATGAACTAAGCCCTTTCCCCGGAAAGTCGAACGAGGGGGCTCCAATGGTTTTTCAGAGCAACGTGGGATACGACGCGGGAAGGACACTCTGGAAATAGCCGTCGAGCGAGACGGACGCCGGAATCCTTAACAGTCGCTTAGGAATATAGAATAAATACATTTTTGGATACCACACTATCCTGAGTTAAATTCTTTTTCTCAAGCGGTGCTTACAGTATCGGTGTTCTATCTCGATGGTTGAAATGACATTACATTGCAATATCCCGTCCTGTATCTACTCCGCGATAAAGTGTACGTTCGCGTTGTAACTGGCCCGTACAGTTGAACCTTATTCGCGACGAGAGTATCTGTAGAGCGGAAGCATTTTCGCGAACGACATAGCCGTATCGAAAGGGTTAAACAGCTCGTGGTATAGCACCCCTTTTATGTCCCACGAGACGCACACTTTTTTCCCGTGAATATTGAGTTTCACGTTGGGTTAACCCACGATTTTCTCCTTTTCTCCATTCTGGAACGCGGCGGGAAGCGGATTTGAACTTAAAATAAAGTTGCAGTTGATTAATTGTGAGAGCTACGAATTCATTCGCACACCTAATATGTCCTTTATAGGTACACACGATGGCGCAAATGTATATACTTTTGTTTCTCCTGTAGATGTAACTGCAAAAACGAAAAATTAAAATGCAAACGAAAGTTTCATGTATTGATATTGTAGGAAACGGAATGCATAAACGTATGTAGCGACCAGCTACAGCGGAAAACATTTGGCGAGCAGACTACCAGCACGGTTTATGACGTGCGCGCTTGGAAGGCTATTTTTGAGGAAACCGTTTTTAGCTTATTTAATTTCTAAAAATTCGACAATGCATGTCCGCGTAGAAACTTTCTCCGACGGCCTCAATAGCAAATTGCCGCATCATAAACCAAGGGTTTCCGAAAGGTCTTTATAGGTACACACGATGGCGCAAATGTATATACTTTTGTTTCTCCTGTAGATGTAACTGCAAAAACGAAAAATTAAAATGCAAACGAAAGTTTCATGTATTGATATTGTAGGAAACGGAATGCATAAACGTAATTAAAGATTTGTAAAATATAATTATGATAAAGAACACTGTTAACGCTTTATCGCTTCGCAGGAAAAGGACCACTCTCGCTATTGTTTTCCCTATTTATATGGTCTTCGCGACCCGCGTTCACTTTCTCACTCTCTTCGCTACTCGCCCAAACACACTCGCTCTTTTTTAATAACAACGAACGTCGGAAGGCC